TCTGTCCAGCACTGGCTGGACAGATGTTCATGCAGTACACTTCATTTGTGAAAAATTCATCAGCTCAAGTTATTTCCCCCTCCTGTGTGCCTTACAGACAGCAATAAGACAATGATTCTTTATATGTGCCCTTTACAGACATATCTTACATAAAGTGAGAAATACCAGTTGTTTAGCTGGGCAAGGTGATGAACACCTAGCATCCCAGCACTTCAAGGGTGGAGACAGGAGAATCAGAAATTTAAGATCATCCTTGGTTATGTAAGAAGTTCAAGGCCAGCTTTAGCTACATGGGACCTTGTCTCAAAAAATAAAACTGGGGCTAGGGAGATGGCTTAACAGTCAAGAGCATAGTGCCTAGCAGAAGCCATTTATCCCAGCACCCAGGCTCTGTGAGCTCCAGGCCAACCTGGACTATACGGAGTTCTAGGTCAGCCAGGGCTACATAGTGAAACCCTGCCCCAGATAAAAGAGAGAGAGAGAAAGAGAGAGAGAGAGAAGAGGGAAAGGGAGAGGGAGGAGGGAGGGGAGGGGTGAGGAGGGAAGGGAAGGAGAGAAGAGAGGTACATCAAAGCAGACTTGGAGAGGACCTTAGTTCAGGTGGCCCACAACCACCTGTAACTCCACCTCCAGAGCATCTGACACCCCTCCTAGCCTCCATGGGCATTTGTTGAATACATGCATCACAGACACACATAAATAAATCTTTTTGAATAAACAAATAAGTAAAATAAAACAGTTGTTTCATCTCACCTAAGTAAAGACTTTGAAGTGCCCTTAAGTCTGTCAATAAACTGTTAAAACTAGTTGTTACTGATTTCAGAAATTCTCATAGAAACAGCATCATTCAACAAAGGGGATGTTTTTTTTACGAGACAGGGTTTCCCTGTATAGCTTTGAAGCCTGTCCTGAAACTAGCTCTTGTAGACCAGACTGGTCTTAAACTCACAGAGATCTGCCTGCCTCTGCCTACCAAGTTCCTGGATTAAGGATGTACACCACCGATGCCTGGTTCAATAAAAGGGATTTTGTAATAGGTCTTTCTTTAGACCACCAACTCCTGAATGATGACAAAGACTTAATGTTAATTATGAAAGCTTGGCCTTAGCTTAGGCTTGTTCCCAACTAGCTCTTATAACTTAACCTGTTTCTATAAACCTATGCTCTGCCACAAACCTTTTTCATATCTCCTCCATTATGTACATCCATACATGTACATTCTATACATTCTGTACATCTGTGTCACTTCCTCAGGTCCTCTCTCTCTCCCCAGAAATCCTGCCTATCCTCTCCTGCCTAGTTATTGGCCATTCAGTTCTTTGTTAAACCAATCAAAAGGTATCTTAGGCAGGTAAGGAAAGACAGAGACACATCTTCACACAGTGTAAAAAAGATTATTCCCAACAGGATTTCATATTTCTTTTTTTTTTTTATTCCCATGAACTTTTCTCCACTTAATGGCAGCAAATAACATTAGACCTTCTCATATCTTGTAGGGTTTTCTAGGTTGGGTTTTTTTATGGTTTTTTTGTTGTTGTTATTTTGTTTTGTTTTATTTTTTTAATCAAAGTAGTTTTACAGAGAAACCCCCATCTTGAAAAAAAAAAAAGTAAGGTACAATAGATTCAGTTGATATTAACAAGTTTTTAAACTCCCCCTTTTTTAACTTGAAAGTTTAAGTAATTTAAGATATTTATTTCACTTACTGCTGTGGGCTACACACTTGGTGCTAAAAGATGTCTTCATTGATTGTTAAGGACTGGCACATATAACTACTTCCTTTTTCTTTTTCTTTTTTCTGAGATAAAGTCTTGCTGCATATTCCTGGCTAGCCTGGATCTTACCATATTGACCATGTTGACCTCAATCTTTGAGACAATCCTCCTGCCTCTGCCTCCCAAGTTCTAACTGGGAGTTAGAACAGTGCCATCACATATGGCTTAATAATTTCTTCTCATAATAAAAGACCTAGGCTAACTGTTTGAGAGTGCATAATATGTTGAGATTAAAAATTAAGGTCAGGCAGGGCTGCAGAAATGCTCAGAGGTTAAGAGCACTGGCTGCTCTTCCAGAGGTCCTGAGTTCAATTCCCAGCACCCACATGGTGGCTCACAAACATCCTATAATAGGATCCAATGCCTTCTTCTGGCATGCAGGTACATATGCAGAACACTCATACATAAAATATGAATAAATAAAAATGTTACCAGGGCCATGGTGGTGTACACCTTTAATACCAGCACTTGGGAGGCAGAAGCAGGTGGATCTCTGTAAATTCAAGACCAGCCTGGTCTCCAAATCGAGTTCCAGGACAGCCAGGGCTGTTACACAGAGAAACCCTGTCTTGACAAACCAAAAAAAAAAAAAAAAAAAAAAAAAAAAAGAATAAGGATCTGAGCCAGGCATAGTGGCACACGCCTTTAATCCCAAAAGCATGTGAATATTTGTGAATTCGAGGCCAGACTAAATTCCAGGACAGCCAGAACTACAGAGAAACCCTGCCTCAAAGGAAAAAAGAATAAGGACATATCTCACAGCTCACAGCTTTTAACAGTTTTTAGCATTTGCAGAAAGAATTAAAGGACTATTTATTACAGCATCTTATAAAAGCTGAAGAGAACAGTGGTAACAGCGGTTAACATTACTCACTTGTAATCTTGACAGTGCTCAGTCACATTTCCAGAGGCCCCGCCCCAACAAGGGGGGAGCACCACAAAGGTCCTGTGCAACCTAGATAAGAGGATTCTTTAAGGAAGCCACACCCATGAAGCGATGCTGAGCCTCCATGATGGATATGCCATGGATGTGGGTTTAGTCACAGTGGGAAGAGGAGAGTACAAGAGGAGAGTAAGAAAAAATATTTTTATGCAGGTATCACTCTGGGACTCCAACCTCAGGGCCTTTGTGCATGTTAGACAAGCGTTCTATGTTGAGTTATACCCTAACACCAGGCCCCAAATTATTCATGTTGGGGGTTGAAGATATTTTTAATTTCCTTCTTCCTAGTCTTTTGAACATTACAATTTTTCTACGAGAAAAATAAATTATTTTTGTAGGGTTTTGTTGTTGCTGATGCTGCTGTAACCTGATAAAAATAAGGATATCATAGAATCCTGAATAGATGAGACATGGACCACACTATGAGATCCCACCTCATTCAGGGACTCTGGCCCCACCTTGAGGAGAAACAGGCTGCCATGAAGATGGGACAGTGAAGTTTCCTGATGCCTAGGGCTCTACCATAAAGGGAGAAACGGCTAACAGAGACTGTGGAACCCAACCAGGGCCAGAGTCCTCACAAGTACAGAAAATAAGCACCAGGCAGGTATAACCACAGGGCCAGAGAAGACCTCTCCCCACTCTCTTTGAGCCAACTTCAAAAGGTTAAATAAGCTGGCCCTGGAGAACCAGAGCTCAGACAGTGAGAGCTCCATGTACATCCAGCCTCCATACTGAAGCAGGAGTGGACAGAAGCTGTGAAGAGAGCACATGGCCCCTATGAGCCTCAAGGGAGCCCCAGTCATTACTGCAAGGCCAGTCTACTGGGAAGGATAGCAGCTAGTCTATGGCTGTGGGGAGAGGCATGGGGTAGGGGGAGAGGCATTCAGTAGGGGGAGAAGGGGAGCAACAGCCTTCTGTCCTGACTTTGGGCAGTAGTGTGACTTTTGCTACCTTAGAACTGCTTAAGAACCAGTGCACAGCTGGAAGGTGGTGGTACATGCCTTTAATCCCAGCACTGGGGAAGCAGAGGAGGTAGATCTCTATGAGTTCAAGGGCAGTCTGGTCTACAGAGTCAGTTCCAGAACAGACTTCAAAGCTACAGAGAAATCCTGTCTCAAAAACAAAAAGAACCAGCACAAGACAGGTTGGGTGATGGTCTGTGTCCCAGCTGGCATAACACATGCCCTGCTGAACAAGATCCAGTGTGCCTTAGCCAGTGGCATTGTTGCTCCCAGCCTCAGTTTCCCTCTCCATCCCTAAACCCATCTGAATCTCTCCAGACCAAGGGCCAAGATCCTCTTACTGTGTTTGCTGCTCTTGGCCAATACCAGCCATGACCACAGGGCTGGCCAGCTCTTGCTTTCTGCAGTGATCCATCCTTCCTCCCACAGCCCCAGGGTACCAGTTTCAGCAAGTGTTACTCCAGCCCAGGACTCAGCAGCTCCTCCAGAGCATCTTCTGTGCACATGAACTCTGTTATCTGCTAAGTATCAACTGACTTGGTTAATTGTCACCATGTCACAATTGTGGAATTTTTATGATTTCTTATAAAAATGCACACATTTGAGTTTTAGTTTCATTGTGTTTCTATTTGACCATTAGGCCTGATTTTGATTAATATCTTGTAAAACCAAAAGCACTAATTAAACTAAAACTACATTTATCTTGTAAGAAAAAAATTATGGTTGCTAACCAGAGTAGAAAATGATATCACACTCAAATGGAAGAGGCTGTAAGAGTAAATATGAGATATATACTGGTCTTTGGCTACACTTGGGCCCTGCCTCTGAAAGGATTGGTTCAGTGCTGCAAACCTGCATCTCTATTAAAAGTGGAAGGAGAAGGTGCTAAAGACACCACGAACAAAAAAGGAGCCTCCTCACCATCTTCAGAGGGACAGAGGACTTTAAATAGACATCCTTGTGACCCCATACACACTTCAGAAGATCTGCAGCACCAGGGCCAATACCCATGTTTATAAAGAACTTGGAGTCAACCTTCACCCATCTAATCATCTTCTCTTCCAGGAAGCCCTCCCCAGCTACTAGGACCAGGCAGGGTCACCCAATTGGCCTCCAGACCCACCACACAGGACCACAGATTGCTTGTGGTACCCTCCTTAAAGTGGAGTTGGCCTGCATTTCTATGTTCAAGGTCCTGGGACCCTGGTAGCCTCCTGCTTCTGAGATAGGCTCTCAGGGCTGTACTTAGGGATAAACCGGGCTATTTTCATCATTTCCTTCCTCTACTCAAGCATCGGCCACCACTGCCAGCTCCCGCAGCTCACACACACTGCCACCACAGCCTTATCCAGGATGCCACCAGCTCACAGAAGCTGTGCCCCAACCAAGGCCTCACAGGTAAGTGGTCTCTTTATTTCCAGCATGACCTCCTGCCTGGTGTGCACTCCAGATGAGCTGGCAGAAAGAGAGGGGAGCCTTGTGTTGTTCCCTTGACTCTCCACTAAAAAATGGAATGTAGGAGAACATTTGCTCTAAGGTGTCAGCTAGCAACTTGGCTGAATCGAGATTCACAAGTCATTCAGTGAACACTCCTTGAAGCCTGCTGGGAGTAGGGCCCCAGTAGAGAGCAAACGTTTGAGAAGGGGAAACAGCCCCTAGTCCTAAACTGGGAGGGAAGGCAGCAAATGAGCCAGAACCAGATGATCCTGAGATGTCTTCCTGACTCTTCACTCTGCCATGAACTTCTGGGTGAGCCTGGGCAAGTGATTCCCCTCTCTGGGCCTTCATTTCCTAGCTCCGGCCATTAGCCAAATGTTTAGACCAATCCCTATGAGCTCCCCTCTGAGTTGCTACTCTGAAAGCTCTTCCGGGGATGGGAGGTGAATCAGGCATAGTGAGAAAGTAGCCAAGGTATAAAATACATTCCATGTGACTCCAGGCTCAGGCAAGGACTGGGTACAGTCTGGAACAACATTTCCTAGCCTCTGTGGCCAGGGATTAAGACTGGAGTCACATGCTTCCCGATTATCTGAGCAGGGGCTGAGAGGGCCCTGTACCTCTCTGCTGCACTTCCTGGGCGACATAGTGAGTTCCAACCTAGGCCAGAGCATGGAGCTCCTGCACCCTGCAAAGGCCTAGACAGTAGGTATATACTTTTGTCCAGCATAGGTCTCCTGGTACAGGCTGACCGGCCCCAATCTCATTGTTCTTCCCACAGCCTGCCTGCTGGATGACTACCTGGGTGCTCCTGTTTCTGCTCTGGCCAGTGGCCACAGCCACCAAGGCCTGCCCAAGGCCCTGTACCTGCCAGGCCTTGGAAACCATGGGGTTAAAGGTTAACTGCGAGGGGCAGGGCCTCACAGCCCTGCCTGTGCTGCCAGCTCATACTCGCCAGCTCCTGCTGGCCAACAATAGCCTACGTTCAGTACCACCAGGTGCCTTTGACCACTTGCCTCAACTATGGAACCTCAATGTGACACACAATCCCTGGCACTGTGACTGCAGCCTCACCTACCTGCGCCTCTGGCTGGAGGACCACATGCCTGAGGCCCTGCTACATGTGTACTGTGTCAGCCCTGACTTGGCCACCAAGCGTCCACTGGGCCAGCTGACAGGCTATCAACTGGGCAACTGTGGCTGGAAGCTGCCACCATCCTGGGCCTATTCGGGGATCTGGTGGGATGTGGCATTAGTAGCTGTGGCTGTGCTGGGCCTAGTACTGCTGGCTAGCCTACTGAACACATTCAAAGAGCCCCTGAATTGAGCCTAGCTATGAAAGCAGGCTGGAAGCCCAGACCTAAGCCGGGTGCCCAGAAGCATCAGACTGAATCAGCCCATGCCATCAAAAACCCACAGGAAGGGCTATTGAAATCACTCAGTGGGCAAAGACACTTACTGCCAAGCCTGAAGATCTGAGTTCTATCCCCAGGACCCATATCATTGGAGAGAACCAAATCTCACCTTCATACTCATGCTGTGCACACACAGCAAATAAATAAATGTAATTTTAAAAGACAACAATAAAACCACTGCATAGCCTTTTTGTATGAGCTCAAAACAGTAACTTTCTTAAGCCTGGTTTCTTCTAGAAATCTGGGTTCATTTTGTTTTAACCTAGTATTGAGACATCTATTTCCCTAAGGTTTCCCACCCAATCATCCCAATCCATTATCTCTGGGCACCCTGACCAGCTTTCATGGCCTCTGCCAATAGCCCCACATGACCCAGGCCAACTTGATACAGGCCTACAGTCCCCATTTGAAGCCCCATAGAAAGTTTACTGGGCATAGCAGTGGGTAGGGCAGAGTGAACTGAAGATCCAGAAGAGAGGGTGCATCTTATCTGGTGCAAATGAGAAAGCAATTCTTCCCCATGTGCTGGTACTAGCCTCTCCCTCTCCCTCCCCCCTCTCTCTCTCTCTCTCTCTCTTTCTCTCTCTCTCTCTCTCTCTCTCTCTCTCTCTCTCTCTCTCTCTCTCTCTCAGAGACCTATGAGCTAAGAACTGTGCCAGCCAAGGTAGCCCTGTGAGTCAGAGGTTCCACTAGGAAGGCCAAGAGGGTAGAGTGGACTATAGGACATTGGTCCACAGAACTCAGTAAAGAGTGGGAGCCAGGAAAAGGGAAGATAATGGGGAGTGGTGGGGACTATGACAATTAGACAACCTGGGCTTCACCCAAAGGGGCAATACCACTGAGTAGAAAGGTCCCCCTAACTCTGAGGTCCAGAGGCAGAGGGTACTGTCCATATGTTCTTTAAGTGTTGGCAATCAAATCAGACTTTTAAAAGAGCAGGACATGGTGGCCATACCCGTAAACCCAGCACTATGGAAACTGGAGCAAAAGGATCACTGAAAGTTCAAGGCCAGCCTGGGCCACATAGTGAGTTCCAGCCTAGCCCAGAGCACAGTGTGAGATCTTGTCTTAAAAAGAGAAAGGGGAGGGGGAGAGTCAGAGAGAGGTAGTGGTGGTACATGCATTTAATCTCTGTGAGTTGGAGGCCAGCCTGGTCTAGAGAGGGAGTTCCAGGACAGCCAGAGCTACACAGAGAAACCCTGTCTCAAAAAAGGGAAAGCAAAAGGAATGAGAGAGAGAAACAGACAGAGAGAGACAGAGACAGACAGAGACAGAGAGAGACAGAGACAGAGACAGAGAGAGACAGAGACAGGCAGACAGAGAGACAGAGAGACAGAGAGAGGCAGACAGAGAGAGACAGAGACAGACAGAGAGAGACAGACACACACACAGAGAGAGAAGTAGGTTGAATGAGAATAGTAGGGGCTGAGAGCATGGGACTCCTGTGTTAGAAATCACACAGAGTAACAACGAATTCTGTGTGAAATCCCTCCCATGAGGTATCACAGGTATCTCCTTAACAAGCAGTCTTCCCTAGCAGAGGGGGATATGGGCCCTGAGCCACTTGACAGACAGGCCAATGTGACCCTTTCACAAGCCAAAAGTCTTCTGAAGTCTGAACACCTTTAATCCCAGCATTCAGAAGGCCGAGAGAGGAGAATCCCTGTGAGTACCAGGCATTCAGGGCTACATATTGAGATCCTCTCTCAAAGACAGAAAAGAAAAAGAAAATCTTCTGAGCATATTCAGATTCCAGGGACCAAGGCCTTCTGTCCCTAGCCCCAACATGGGGAACAGTCTAGATCCTCCTACACCAAAATTCTCCTACTGCCCCCTCCTGGCACTCTGGTGTGCACATATAGGCCTCCACCCTGCTAGCTAAGTTGGCTCTGTCCTGTGACAACTTGCCAGCTGCCCCGAGCTTCATGAGGTAGGAGTCAGGGTGTGATTTCCCAAGGGTCTCAGAAACAAGACTAGAATTTCACTACAGAGCAGGTGCTAGAGTTTGGATCTTGAATGTCTCCCAAAGCCCCATGAATTGGAGGCTTGGGCCCCAGTCCGTGGCACTATAGAGAGGCTGTGGGACCTTCAGGAAGGAGTCTGATGAGAGGAAGTTAAGCATTGAGGATATGACTGTAGAGGAGGTATTGAAACACCACCACCACCCCACCCTGCTTCCCTGCTCCCTAGGAGTGAGCAGTACCTACTACAGGCTCCTTCCATAATATGCCACCTTGACATGGGCCCATTTTTTTTCTTTTGTGTGTCTCTGTGTGGGTGTGTGATTTTGTGTGTGTGTGTGTGTGTGTGTGTGTGTGTGTGTGTGTGTGTGTAGGTGCATGTATAGTGTGGTCACAAGCAAATGAAGGCCAGAAGTTGATGTCTGGTGTCTGCGTCTTGGCCACTCTCCACCTTATTTTTTTTTTTTTAATCAGAGTCTCTCACTGAGCCCAGAGCTTACTCGCCTAGATCCCTTGGCCAGCAAGTCCCAGAGATCTTCCCGTCTCTGCCTCTCTAGTGCTGGGGTTGCAAGCATGCACTGCATTGCTTGCCATCTGGTGTGGTTGCTGAGGATTCAGACTCAGGTCCTCATGTTTGCATGGCAAGCATTTTTACTGACAAAGCCATCTCCCTTCCCTTTGATTCTTCTTGATCATCTCAGGTTTATCTCAGATTATCCAACATCACAATGATGGAAAGTTGGGATGCCTATTGCAATTAAGAAACACAGCGCAGGAGAGAAAGACACCATGCAAAGGGTTCAAGCAGAGGGATTTTTTTTTTTTTTTATTAGGGAAAGGGATCATAAAAAGGGGAAAGGGAAGACAAGCCTCTTGGGACAGGAGAAGCAAGAGAGAGGAAATAGGGAGAAAAGGAGAAAGAGAAAGAGAGAGAAACAGACAGAGGGAAAGAAAGAGAACGATGGGAAGTGGGCAGGGCCCTTTTAAATGGGAACACAGAGATTATGCACAGGTGGTGCTCTTAGTGGCTGCAGCTGAGAGCATATCCTGTCTGAACCCCAAAGACAGGCCAGTACAGATGCCTGAACACTAACAATGCTGGATAATTTAACTGATTTCTCACAGCTCACAAGGCTAGCAAACCCAAGATCAAAGTACCGCACTAGGACTGTCTTCCCATGGAGACAAGGGGAAGTGGACATGGTGGCACACACCTTTAATCCCAGCACTTGGAAGGCAGAGCCGGGAAGATCTCTGGGAGTACAAGCCCAGCTACCAAGTGAGTTACAAGCTATCCAGGATTACATAGTGAAACCCTGTCCAGAGACAAAGCACTAAAGAATCAAGGTGATGTGGTCCCCAGAAGTGGCAGACTCACAGAGACTAGGCTCTAGGTTAGTGGTTAGGGCTGGCCATTAGTATCAGAGAGAACAGAGCTTTGATGTAGAAAGTTGGAAAAAATCTGAGCAGATGGTGTAGCTGCTTTACAAAACTTTGCACAGAATGCCACAAAGTTGTTCATTTCTGAGCAAATGAATAAAATACTATACTATGCAAATATTTTTATTTATTTTATGAGTATAGGTGTTTTGCCTGCCATTATAAAGATTTTACAATTAAAAAAATACATGAAAGTGCTGGAGAGATGACTCAGTGGTTAAAAGCACAAACTGTTCTTGCAGAGGACTGGAGTTCAGTTCCCAGCACCCATATCTGGTTGCTGATAGCTGCCTGTAAGTTCAACTGCAGGGGACCTGGAAACCTCTGGCTTCTTCAAGCACCTGCTCACGCACGCACACACATACACACAAATAAATAAAATATTTTTAAGGGCTGGCGAGGTGGCTAGGTGGCTAAGAGCACTGAGCTCTTCCAGGGAACACAGGTTCAATTTCCAGCACCCACATGGCATTTCACAGGGGTTCTGACACCCTTCTGGCCTCAGCAGGTACTAGGCAGACACATGCATGCAGATATACATACAACCCAAACACCCATACACACAAAGTACTTTTAACTTTTTAAATAATAATTTTAAATACATTTTTAAAAAATGTATTTAAACCAGTGGGGTCTGAGAATGCAGATCAGAGGTAGAAAGGCTTGCCTCATGTGGTGGTTTGAGAGAAAATGCCCCGATAGGCTCATATAGAGTGTCACTATTAGGAGGTGTGGCCTTATTGGAGTAGGTGTGGCAATACTGAAGGAAGTGTGTTACTGGGGTGGGCTTTAAGGTCTCAGAAGCTCAAGCCAGGCCTAGCGGCTTACTGTCCCTTCCTGCTGCTGTAGGTCCAGATGTAGAACTCTCAACTACCTCCCCAGTACCACGTCTGCCTGCACGCCACCGTGCTTCCTGATAATGGACTGAACCTCTGAACTGTAAGCCAGCCACCACAGTTAAATGTTTTCCTTCATAAGAGTTGCTGTGGTCAAGGCGTCTCTTCACAGACACCTAACATGTATAAGGCACGGGGTTCAAGCCCTAGCATCACACACACAAAAAATTATTTAAAAAAATAATATATCTCTTTAAGCTCCTGCTACGGAGTTAGTATTTGTCCCTCCAATGTAACTGTCATCATAACAGCACTAAGGGGCATCACCTCTAAGATGGGATCTCACTTTCTTTCTCATCACGTAATGACCTCCACCATGTCAGGATACATGATGAGGCCCAAACCAGATTCCCTTGAACTGTGAACAAATAAACCTCTGTCATTTGAATGCTCCAACCTGTAGAACTGAGACACTCAGACAGTGGCACTCCTCTAGCCAAAGACAAACACAATTAATGTTTTTTAAAAGCTTTCCTTTTCTAATTCTAGAAAGAATACATTTTCTCTGAAAATAAACTAGTACCAAGTGACAGGGGAGTCACTGGGCACCACATTGTAGTGTTTCTTCTGGTGTCCTTTCTAAACTGTTGATACTACAGCCACCATTATTCCTATTTTCTTCTTTCTAAAATGGAATAGCTCTATCAGTGTTCCTAACTTACATGGACTAAAACTCATGACCATAATCAATAGGTCAGAATATAGAGAGAACTATGAAGAAAATGAAAAGCATGAAATACTACCCCACCCCACACTCCAGACACTACGAATCCAGGCTGGATACCCTGCCAAGCTCTCTCCCAAGATGTATATTATCATAGTCTATAACACATAAATAATTTCCTCACTGGTATAATTGGGAACAAGTCTTCACCATTCACATGTATGTGGTTATTCTTTTTG